TCTGCAGCGAAGGTAGGGACGGCGCCGGGAGGATGGCGGACAAACGGGGCCTTGGGGTGCCGTCCGTCCGAGGACCCGGCCTTTCCGCTCAGGAGGCTCCACCCCGCCCGTCCTCAGGCTCCGGGCCCGAGAGGCCGTGCGGGGAGAGGTTCGGGTCTCACGGCCGTGGAGAGCTCTGTGTCTCTGGACTCTTTCTAGGCTGCGTGCTGCTGTACAAACAGGACTTCACCAAGAAGCTGGGCTTGTGCTGTATCACTTGTACTTACTGCTCCCAGACCTGCCAGCGCGGCGTCACCGAGCAGCTGGACGGCAGCACCTGGGACTTCTGCAGTGAGGACTGTAAGAGCAAGTACCTGCTGTGGTACTGCAAGGTAAGGGGCCGGGCGGCGGGGAGCGCGGGCTGCTGCGCCGCGATCGGTACGGGCGATCCCCAGGGAGGGGCTCCAACTGGCCCGGCCTCCAAGGGGAGCAGCGGGGGCTTATCCCGGGGCAGAGGGCCCGGCTCGTTTCGGGGAGGCGGGCCTGACCGTCTCGTCGACACCCGCAGGCTGCCCGATGCCACGCCTGTAAGCGCCAGGGGAAGCTGCTGGAGACCATCCACTGGCGTGGACAGATCCGTCATTTCTGCAACCAACAGTGTCTGCTGCGCTTCTACAGCCAGCAGAACCAGCCCAACTTGGACACCCAGAGTGGGCCCGAGAGCCTCCTGAACAGTGAGTCCCGGGCAGGGCCTCTCTGCTAGAAGTGGCCCGGACGCTTCCAGCCGGGGCCCGGGCCCGCTTCCTCCCTCGCTCTCACGTCATCCCTGGCCAGAGCTTCCGCTCCCGCGCTGTCTTTTAGCTTCTGGACCCTGCGGGTACCAGGGGCCTCTGGTTGGAAGGTTTGAGAGTTAGATGTTACTGATTCTCTGTGAAGGAGCTCGTTTCAGGGATGGGGGCCTACTCAGGCAGGGTGGGGCACGGGGGGCTGTGGCCGGTTTTCAGAGAGAAGGAAGTGTCAGTAGAAGCTCTACCTTTAGCGAGACTAAAGACTGCTGTCGTTTCTAGCATCTTACCCTGGTCCCTCTGCCACTCCAGCGGTGCCAGACTCCTGAGGCCATCTAAACGGAAGGTCTCGACTCGTGGGTTATCGGGGAAACTACTCTTTTTCATTCTTCTCGGCAGCCAGGAGCAGAGAAGCTCCTTGGCCACTCCTCCTGGGGCCTAGGGGAACAAAGAGGACGGATTGCAGACTCCCCGGTGTCGTGCGTCCTAACGGCGCTCTCTTTGCACATGGAGAGCCAGTCGTGCAGACGCGACATTCGTTCGTTTCGATCCGCAGGTCAGTCTCCTGAGTCAAAGCCCCAGACACCCTCGCAAACCAAAGCGGAGAACAGCAATACGGTGAAGACCCCGGAGGAAAATGGGAGTGTGGCCAAGGTCAGGGCGGAAGCCGCGGCGGGGCGGGGCGGGAGTCGATGGTCTCAGAGGGGCGTCTAGCGGTTGGCGGCACCCGTGTGCCTTTGTGTCCGCAGATCCCTGTCAAGACCCGATCGGCTGCTACTGCTTCCACCCCTCCGCCACCCCCGCCGCCCCCAGCAACACCCCGCAAAAACAAAGCCGCCATGTGTAAGCCACTGATGCAGAATCGAGGGGTCTCCTGCAAGGTGGAGATGAAGTCCAAAGGCAGCCAGACAGGTGAGCCCACGACACCACAGGCCATGCTCCGTCGTCCTCGGCCAGCAGCCCTGTGCCTAAGAGCTACACGGAGCTTTCTTAGGTGGCCGATATATCGTGGATGTCGAAGGGCAGTTTTAGAGCGTTCGAGCTTTGGGGTGACGGGCAAGCATCGGGTCCCGGGTCGGATGGGAGCTGCGTAGCGGGGGCTCTGACAAGACCCCTTCCTGCCCGCAGAAGAGTGGAAGCCCCAGGTGCTCGTGCTGCCCATCCCCGTGCCCATCTTTGTGCCAGTGCCTATGCATCTGTACTGCCAGAAAGTCCCGGTGCCTTTCTCGATGCCCATCCCGGTAAGCGCACCTCCCAGGACGGACACCAGCCTTGCCCCTGACGGCCACCGGCCGTCCTCCGCATCCAGTGCTGTGCTTCTTGGCATTGAGTTGGGATTTATGTCTCCAGGTGCCTGTGCCCATGTTCCTGCCCACCACATTGGAGAGCACAGATAAGATTGTGGAGACCATAGAGGAGCTGAAGGTCAAGATCCCTTCCAACCCCTTGGAGGCTGACATCTTGGCTATGGCAGAAATGATCGCAGAGGCTGAGGAGTTAGACAAGGCCTCGTCCGACCTTTGCGGTATGCCATGCGCTGCGGCTATGGGGGAGCCCGTGCGCTACCGCTCTGTGTCTGCGTGGGGGCGGAGAGTGGCGACCTCATACCTGGCGGGATGGGGGACAGTTGGGGCCCGCCCCTGAAGTGACTTCTCTGCTTCCCAGATCTTGTGAGCAACCAGAGTGCAGAGGGGCTTCTGGAAGACTGCGACCTGTTTGGGCCGGCTCGAGACGACGTCTTGGCCATGGCCGTGAAGATGGCCAATGTCTTGGATGAGCCCGGGCAAGACTTGGAGGCGGACTTCCCCAAGAGTGAGTAGCCTTCGATGTGGCCCTCGATGCGGGAGCGTTCGCGCCATCGGAAAAGGCGTGCGTTCCTTGTGGCCCTGAGCACGACCCTAACAGTGCTCCTTGCGACCCGACGACAGAAGGCTCCCCCAGGGAGTCGCAGCAGAGATACTGGGACAGGTGCCGGATTTTGCACTTGAGTCTCGTGAGCTTTTTTTCACCGTGGTAAAACCCACAACGTGAAACCTACTATCGAGACCGTGTTGGAGCACGTGCTCCAGTAGTGTGTGACAAGCACTCCCGTGTGACTTCCTGAGTCGCTGTGCCCCTGAGCGTGTGCTTGGTCCGGCTTTGCTCGTTCCCACTGAGTACGATTGGACCTCTCCGGGAGGCTCGTCTCGAGTCAAGTGGGCACGTAGCAGGGGTGGCCTGGGAGGACCGTCAGGTTGACATCTTATTATTTTTTAAAGCCTGCAGTACCCGGTGGGCTCCCATCCAAGTGCTAACCAGGCCTGACCCTGCTTAGCCTCCGAGCTTGTACGAGATCCCACGCGTTCAGGGTCTATGGCCGGAGACCATGACATCTTAGCAAATGATTCCCTTCTTTGCCCTCTACCAGATCCTTTGGACATTAACCCCAGTGTAGACTTCCTCTTTGACTGTGGCCTGGTAGGGCCCGAGGACGTGTCTACTGAGCAAGACCTTCCCCGAACCATGAGGAAGGTGAGGCCTGGGGCTGCTGTATTTGCAGAAGAGGGATGGAGTCTCAAAGGGCCGGAGGGCGGCGCTTTCGTGGCCAAGTCAGCAGCTTGACTGTCACCTGCCCCGATGACCTCCCTTCGCCACTGCCATGAGCGCTAACGTCCAGCAAACTGCTCTCTCCACAGTTTGCCAGGTCATCAGAGCTGAGCCTGGGGCTCTGTGCTCCAGAAGCTTGCTGTGTGTCCTCATCGGCCCCTTACTGCCCTGGCGGTAAACAGTGTCACGCCACCTTCCACGGTGCCCCTGGCCTCACCTCCGCCACCCTCATCCTTCTTTCCCTCCAGGGTCAAAAGCGGCTGGTGCTTTCCGAGAGCTGTTCCCGGGACTCCATGAGCAGCCAGCCTGGCTGCACCGGGCTTAATTATTCCTACGGTGTCAACGCTTGGAAGTGCTGGGTGCAGTCGAAATATGCCAACGGAGAGACCAGCAAGGCTGATGAGCTGCGCTTTGGCCGTGAGCGCCCCGGGGATGGGGGTGGGGACGGGGACGGGAGGTGGAGGGTGTCCCGCGAAGATGCAGAGGACTTGCAGAGGAAGGCTTGGCGCTGTCTGGGTGTCGAGGCTTAGGGCCCTCTTGGTAATTGGTGGTTCGCTCCGGAGCTGGATGTGAGTGACGGCGGAAAGGTTAATGGAGCTAAATGACGTGCTCCGTGCGAAGTTCTGCTAACGGCGCTCACCTCCGCTTCCCGTCACTGCAGCCAAACCCATGCGTATCAAAGAGGACATTCTGGCTTGTTCAGCTGCCGAGCTCAACTATGGTCTGGCCCAGTTTGTGAGAGAGATCACTCGACCCAACGGCGAACGATACGAACCTGACAGTATCTACTACCTGTGTCTTGGCATCCAACAGGTACCCGGGGCGCACTGCTCGTCTTGCCATCACTGTCAACACAGCAGGCAGGGCCCCGCCAGCAATGATACCGTCCCCGAGCAGGCAGCTTTCCTCCCCATTCCAAGCACGACAAGATGTGTCAATACTCTCCAAAGTCCAAGCCGCATGGCGGCCCTCCCTGCTGTCTGTGACGCTCGGCCCCTGGGCTTCTCGGGTGATGGGGTCATGTCCAGTTCCCCGTGGGAGAAGGCGGCCATGCATCATCGGGCAAGGGGTCGGGGCTTGTGAGGACCAGCTGCGACACATGTCCTCCAAGCCCCCACCCCTTCCGGCGAGGCCTCGGCACCCCGGAGTTGTGGGTATACCTAGGGAAGAGTGCCCTGGTCGCCCCAACGATAATTTCCTAATTATCAAGGTCGCCGTGCCCGGGCCTTCGACCCCACTGTCTCTCCTCTAGGACCTGGGATCTGGCTTGATGTGTGTCTCTTTCTTCCTCCAGTACTTGCTGGAAAATAACCGGATGGTGAACATTTTCACGGACCTTTACTACCTGACTTTCGTTCAAGAGCTCAACAAGTCTCTGAGTACCTGGCAGCCCACCCTCCTCCCCAACAGTAAGGGACAGAAACGTAGCGAGCCCTGCGCCCCTTCTGCCATTCTTCAGACACACCGTCCCAAGTCCCGGGCTGCTGGGTGTGCCTCTGTTGACAAAGGGTCTGAGGGCAGGTGCACGTAGCTTCGGGAGTCGGAGCCCATGTCCTCGAACGTGAGGAGGGACCAAGACTTATGTCTGAAGAGCTGGGACCACACGCGGTGGACTGGGTCGGGAAGGAAAAGAGGAAGGACTTGAGGGGCTCCCCGAGGTTTGCGCCTACCTGCCTGTAACTCGAGGCTGGTGACGGAAGCCCCAAATGCAGGTGGAGACCCTACGAGAAGCCACCCCATCCTACTGGGTCGTGTGGCGGGGTGTCAGGGTTTCACGCAAGATGGTCCCCTGCCGAATGGAGGTGCCCGTGAGCGGGACAGCGGGGAGCAGAAGGGGCCGGGCTTGGGGGGCGCCGGTCCCGACCGGCCTGTGCCCTGGACCGTTGCAGATACAGTCTTCTCTCGCGTGGAGGAGGAACACCTGTGGGAGTGCAAGCAGCTGGGCGTGTACTCGCCCTTCGTCCTTCTCAACACCCTCATGTTCTTCAACACAAAGTTTTTCGGGCTGCAGACGGCCGAGGAGCACATGCAGCTGTCCTTCACCAACGTCGTGCGGCAGTCTCGCAAATGCACCACCCCTCGGGGCACCACCAAGGTGGTCAGCATCCGCTACTACGCCCCGGTCCGCCAGAGGAAAGGGCGCGGTACGAGCTCCCCCCACCCGCGCTTTGCTGTCCCCTCTCTGCTGTCCCCTCCCGCGCCTCGCCTTAACTGCCAAGTCGGCCCTCTCCTTTGCCACTAGCTTCCCCATCGTTCGTTCCTGCGTTTGCAGAAAAGGTGAAAGCAGCCCATCCTTCGATCGATGGGCGGTGGCTGTTGCATAAGGGGGAGGTCACCCAGCTGCCTGCTTCCCGCCCTTCGTCATGTCGAGGCCATTTACTGACTTGCCTCCTCTCTTTGAGGGGAGCGGACAGGTGGGGAGCTGTTGGGCGGGTTGGCTGTGGGAGAGAGTTGACAGGGCGCACGGCAGCTTGGTTTCCATTCTGGCCCTGGAGTCCTGACCCATGTGACTGCGGTCCCCACGGTCCGTTCTCTGGACCCGCGCTTCTACGTGGACTTGGGGGCTGGGGGCTGGGCCATGTCGGGTCCTCCACCCCGGAAGGCAAGGCCAATCTCGCAGTCGGCTCTGTTTTGTCCGTTTCCTTGTGACCTCCGGAGGTCAGCCTGAGGGAGCGCGCAAGGCGACACGTTAGCCGCGCCAACCGGGGAGGACTGTAGAGCGAGACCCCCGCAGGACGCTGGCCGGTGTGGGCGACTGACCGATGCTTCTGCCTTTACTTCTTCATACGACTGTGCCGTGTGTCCCGAGGCCTCCCCCGTGCCCCGCACTGTGCACCGGGAGGCGGCTCGTCGAGGCTGCCGTTAACGAGCCCGGGTCCTTTGCCTTCTGCAGACACAGGTCCCGGGAAACGGAAGCGAGAAGACGAAGCCCCCATCTTAGAGCAGCGCGAGAACCGCATGAATCCCCTCCGCTGCCCTGTCAAGTTCTACGAATTCTATCTGTCAAAATGGTGAGTTGGCAGGTGCGCGGGGCCGGCGTCAGCACGGGTCACCCCTGGACCCTCCCTCGGTACTGATCTGTCTCCTACCGTTGCAGCCCCGAAAGCCTGCGGACTCGCAACGATGTGTTCTACCTGCAGCCTGAGCGGTCCTGCATCGCCGAGTCGCCCCTCTGGTACTCCGTGATCCCCATGGACCGAAGCATGTTGGAGAGTATGCTCAATCGCATCCTGGCCGTGCGCGAGATTTACGAAGAGCTGGGTCGTCCTGGGGAGGAAGACCTGGACTGAGCACTTGTGTCGTCCGTATCCATCCCTCACACCAATGTCTGGCCTGTGGCCACGTCCCGTGGGGCGACGGGCCCCAGAACCAATGCTACTCATCCCGAAGGGCCCTGGCCGCTCTTCTCTACTCATCCATTCCCCGCCTTCCCTCGGAACCCCTGGCTTTTACCGTCTTCCTACCACTTGACAACCACGGGGCCCAGCCCTCTGTGCTTGGGGGCTGGCCTCCCGGTGATGGGCAAAACCCGGCTAGGCCATTTTCTTGATGCTTCGGAGGAAAGCCCTTCTCGCAGGGCCAGACTCTGGATGGAGAGTTACTAGCTCTGGTGATCCTGTTAGCGTGGGCTTCGCGGCCCGCGCCACGTAGGTAAAGCCCCTTGTTCCCAGGTTCGGCCAAGGGAGGAACCCAGCTGCCTTGTCTGCCCCGCGCCCACCCCTTTCTCTCCTGTCGCCCAGCACCGCGCTAAAGGGTCTCGTACGAAAGGTGTGAAAGAAACTCCGAAAGTAACGAGGGGACCACTTACCTAGAACGCAGAGCTTTGACACTCTTCCTCTCCGTAAAATAACCGGTTGTTGGAACCCCCCTCGCCACCGCGTCCCCCCGCCCGCCGCAAGCACCAGCCCTGGGTGCCGCAGCTTAGAAAGCTTCCAAACGCTTCTGCTCCTCCAAGGCAGAGAATGACTCCAAGTGTGGGGAGCAGACTCCTGTCCCCTTGGTTTATGTGTTCGTCCCTCTCTGCCATCTTAGGTTGGCATGAGCCACGTGTCAACATGCTTAGCCCCCCCTCTGTGATCGCCTCCCTTGACTTCAGTGGACACAGTTCCCAAGGCAAAAACCACCTTCTGACTTGGGTTGGGGCTGGGTTCCCCACTGTTCTCCCCCATCGTCAGAGCCAGGCCAAGCCTGTGGGGGACCCCGGGTCATGCAGGATGGGGTCTGTGGTCAGAGGCTAGCTCAGCAGCTGTGGGCACGGGTCTTTCCCCCGCTGCCTACATCTCTCTTCCCCATCTTGCCTTCGTAGTTCCAGAAAATTCTTAGCGTCCGGCAAAGGGGGTGCCCAGTTCTTTCCCTGTTGGCTTTGCTGTTCCCCAGCCTCCTTTTTGTGTTTTTATAACTGTCACCAGTTTAGCCACTGTTTAAATTGTACATATTGTTCTGAGGTGCCTGGCCTGTCCCTTCAGTGAGCCATGCCCGCCCTTGTGTTGTAGTGAGAAGCTGTTGTCACGACTAACCTTCTGTCTCTGGAATTGTTTGTTTCAAATAAAGAGTTAAAATTGTCTTTGGCCTTTTCGTGGGGAGGGAGAGCGGTGTTCGGGGGCGGCGAGGGACAACTTCTGATCTCTCAGCTGGAGAATTCTTTGTATCCACCTCGCCGAATGAATCCACTAGGAACATGGTGTTTTTTACAACAAGTTTCCGAACACTTAAGGGGAAAAATCCATTCCGCGGCTCTCTGTTAAGGACCTACTACGTTTAAGGACCTAGATTACGCGCTTCAGAGAACACACAGATTCATTCGGCCCAGAACCCTGTCCCCAGCAGACTCCCAGGCTGGAGAGGACACAGGTGGAATGAAATACGCAGCGCTGTGGGAGTACGCGGGAATAAGGGACTCGGTTCAAGTTTATAGCAACGTTACATGCGTGTTCTGTGAGTGAGGGAGGTGGCATCTGCCCTGGGCCACGAGACGTGGGAAGGATTGAGGACCGGAATAATCTAAGGTTGAGATTTTCCAATCGGGAATGACAGGATCAGATCCGTTGATTCGGGGTGGAGATGCCTACAGCCCCGTGAAAGTGGGGAGATCAGTGAAAGGCTAAGAGATTTTGTGGGCCTCAGTGGGGTGTGGGGATAGAGAAGGAAAAGAGAGAAGATGGATTCAAATGAGTTGCAGACACTTTGAAGGTCAAGTCTGCAGGATCTGGGGGAGGGAAGCATTGTGCACGAACCATGAGTCCCAGGTTTTGATTGGGAGAGAGATGCCTTTAACCAAGTTGGAAAATGGACAGTGTCTTTTTTGTTTCTGTTTTGGCTGATGAGTGGGGGCTAAGAAGAACTGGGTAACGAGTTGAGGGTTTGATCATGCTGGGTTCGAGCCTCCATCGAAACATCCACGTGGTGGGCCACGTGACATGGCATAGCAGAAAGAACACCCACGCTTGACTTTTTAATCATAGTTCTGCTACTAAAACTTGGGCAAGCCTACCTTCTCGAGCCTCACCTAAAAATATGCATCTATATTCCGCCCTGACTTTCTCACAGAGTTGATGCAAAGGTCAGGTGAGAAAATGCAAGTAGCAGTTGGAAATGTGGGTCCGAGGCAAGGTATGTGTTTTCTGTCCAGCTTCATGGATACATAATTGACATATAACATCGCCTAAGTTTAAAGTGGACGCCGTGTGGATTTAATACATTTAAGCTCTGCAACTTTCGAGTATACAGCTCAGTACTGTAACTTAGTCACCATGCTGTACGCCAACTCCTCACAACTTATTGAGCTGGTAACTGGAAGTTCGTACCCTCTGACCAACGCGTCCCCATTCAATCTACATCCCCCAGGCCCTGGCAAACCACCGTTTGACTCTTTGTTTCTATGAGTTCAGTTTCTTCAGATCCCACACATAAGTTAGATCAGTACTTGTCTTTTTCTGTTTGACTCATTTCACTTAACATAGTGCATGAGGTATCAATTTAGAAATCATCTGCAAAGCTCTGGGAGTGGACAACATCTCTCTCGGGGTGGGGGGCGGGGAGAAGTAGAGGGCAAAAATGGTACCTTCCAGCATGTCTCCAGTTAGCCAGAGGAAAGAACCGAGAGCAGGAAGCAGAGAGCCCCAAACCTGCCAGACGCTAAAGGTGGAAGCACCTGATGGAAAGCTGTCCTCCTATCACAGGCCAAGGTGAAGTCTATTTAATTTGCCTTTTCTCCCCTCGTCAACAGGGCCCCCAAACACCTGTCTCTCTCACTGCCTTCCCGTGATGGAACTGAGAGGCATCTGTTGTCATTTGCTCAACTACATTTCTACTCCACGCCCAATCTTGTGCTAGTCACTAGGGATATAAAGATGACTAAGGACCTGGGGTTTGCTCCCGAGAAGTCCCCAGTCTGACAGGGAGAACAAGGGCTGGGACCAGGGCGGGGCAGACAGGGTACCGAAGGTGCCGAGTATAAGAAGGCAGTCGCTGCCACGGTCGTGCAAGTCCAGGGCGATGTCTGCACAACCCTGAGGTGCTTCAGCTGCCTCGCCCTGGTCCTGACCCCGGAGAAGACTCACGTGGCAATAAAATGACCCACTGCTACTCATTGTCGCCCAGCGAATCGAGAGCACAGAAGTGACATGGGAGGTGAGTTCGTTAGGGACTGGCGCGCACAAGGACGTGATGGGACAGGAGCATCTTTGGGGAAGGATGGTCGGGTGAGCAGCGCTGGGAGGCGGTGTCGGGAAAACGGGCGTCAGGTTGCGGAAGGCGTTTACTGTGATGCGGAGCTCTGTTAGGGTGACCGGCCATCTGCGTTTGCCCAGGACCTCCCCAGTGTTAGCAATGAAAGTCCGACATCCTGGGAAAGCCGTCAGTCCTGGCAAACTGGAGTAGTCACGCTTCATCCTCGAAGGGTTTTCACAAAGAATCGGCAGAATGTGATTCGTGTCGTAAGGTGACTCTAGCATGTCTGGGTGACGTGGAGGAGAACTGGGTGCCGAAGAAACCGAGGAGGCCAGTGGCGGGGAGGCAGCGGCATAGACATGGTTCGGCGCTTGGCCTTAGGCCAAGGTGGTAACGAGTTCCCGTTCTCCGGCTCAGCCCCTGCCTTCCTAGCTGTGTGGCCCGGGCAAGCTACTTAACCTATGTGGGCCTCAGTTTCTCCATTTCTAAATGGGGACGATACCGGTGCTCGCCTCAACGGATGGTGAGGACTAACGGCTCCTGTTTAAGCACAGTGCCCGGCATACAGCAAGCGCTTAATAAACGTTAGCGGCTGTTATCCACATTACCACTTACGAGACCACCGCAAGGCCGGAAGGAAGGCACATGATGTGCCGAAGGAAAGCAGCTGAGGAGGAAAGAGACTTGAGAAAGATTTGGGGAGCCACATTACCAGACCTCGCGTGTCGGCTAATCGATTAAACTTTATCGTGCATGACTTTCCGTTGGCATAAATTCTCCAAGGCATCTACATTTCAAGACTTTTATCTCTAACTGTGAAACGAAGGGCTTTGTCCCTGGAAGGGAAGGTCAAGGGTCAAGGAGAGATGGCTGGAAAACCAACTGCACCTTCGAGACCCCTAAGGTTAGGGGCGAGAAATGGCGGCGGTTTGAAAAGCTTGTCTTGATTTAGGAGTTTGGAGGGTAGGGGTTCCGAATAACTGTCTCTCCCTGTCTTCCCTGCATTCCCCAAATTGCCTTGCTTTGCGGGCATGGACAATTTCTGGATCCCGCTCCAGGCAGAGATTTCTAGAGAAGCCCTTTGGCTCCGCACTGTCCTTCCGGGTTGGAGCCCCTTCCTGAACATTCCCCATTTTTCTCTCTTAACCTTCGTTTTCCGGCAGGTTGATATTTAGGGATATCGTGTCACACTGAGCACCTCCCCTCCCCCACCTCTATGGCCCGAAACCCTTCCTAAGGCAGCACGGACCGGCGACTCTGCTGTAGAGGGGACAGCGCGGATTTTAGGTTACCATAGGTCGACATCTTAATTCTGGCTCTGCAGCTTTAAGCTGTGCAACCTTTGGACATATTAATTATCCCCTCTGAACCTCCATCTCCTCATCTACAGGTGTGGGTATGATAATGACTACCGTGCCATTACTGAGATCATGTATGTGAGGGCTGGACCAAATCCGGTCCGTACCCCATGCTCCAAAACAGTCCCCTTTCCTTTCGTGCACCGAGATGATTTCTAAGTCTGAAAATAAAGTTTCGGACTACGTTATGATCGAGACACATCCTTTTCATTAACACCACATTAGGAATTAAGACGCCCTTCACAGCCATCCTCCCGTTTATATACACAGATGCAGTCACATGTGCCGCGACATATGTATGCAAACATATTGCTTACTCAAGCACACACACATGGCGATTGACAACGAGACAGTCAAGAAAGCATGTTGATTAGGTGTGACCGAGAGTTTAGCTCGGTGTTTGAGACACCTGGTGAATAGCTGGAGGATGGGACAGATAGCGAGACGGACAGAGCTTACTATCAACCAGACGGCGCTGTTCCAAGGGCTTTACCTACAACTGATGCATTTAATCTTCGCTATCATAGGTGCCATCATTATCTTTGTGTGACAGATGAGGAAACCGAGGCACGGAGTGGCCGAGTAACCGGGCTAAAGTCACACAGGTAGGAAGCAGACCATGCTCTTAGTCACTATGCTATCCTGACTTTTCAGAGAGGCTTTAATCTGGACAAAAGTCGGTCGCCATCCCGTGCAAATTACCCTCTCTCCCTGGAGTCTACTGTCAAATCACTGCCCTCCCTTCCACGATTTGCCATCAGCCTTCACGTATCTATTTGTGCAAAGATCTGCCCTGCCCTGGATCTTGTCAAGATCTGCACAGTCTGCCTATAGTTATAGACAGAATTGCCTGTAAGTCTAGAAGGAGATAACTCTGAAGTTACGAGGGTTTCTATATGTTATAGCTGAGAGTTCGAAGTCCTGCGCAAACTTCTGCGCACCGCATACGAGACCCTTCACCGACTGGCCCCAACCTACTTTGTCCATCTCACCTCCTACCTCTTCTGAGATGCTGAACCTGTGCACACGCTTACATCCTCTTCCCTGTTGCCCTCGATCCAACAGGCTAAGCACCTCCTATGTGTTAAGGATACGCAAGTAATTACCACGCAATTCGATAAGAAACACAATATACTGCAGGAATTCAGGATGGGGATGGGGGGATGGGGGAGTGGTCCTTGCTGAGGGACTGGGCGTACAGGGGAGAGGGGAGGAGACAGAGTTGAAAGCTCCACATGGGAAATGACATTCGAGCTGGGTCTTGAATGATCAAGTGTCTGCCAGTCAGGGGAGGGGAGGGAAATGTACCAAATTATCTTTGTCTCCTACATCCGAAGCGTCTCTCACATTTGTCTCCTCTTATTCCTTCTGCCACTGTCCTAGCGCTACAGGCCCCACCTGGGCTATTGCGACAGCTCTGTAACTGGTCATTCTGCCTCTTCTCTTTTCTAAGCCAATCGACTCTCCGTGTGACTGCCGAGGTAAGCTCCCAAACCGCAGTCTGAGACTAGCGCTCCCCCCACTCAAAACCCTTAATGGTTTCCACCACCTATAGGACAGTCTTAACCCTTTACGGTGCATGGAAGGCCCATCATAAGCTGGCCGTAGTTTACCTTTCTCACCTTTCCACTAGCCATTTCACCGCTTGAATCCTCTACAGCAAATTATTAGTCTAACTCTGAAGACAAAATCACGCCCTTTCGGATGTGGGTTTTTCGCCTGCTTTATGCTCCTTCCCTAGAATGGCCCAATCCTTTTGCCACCTGACAGGTTCAGCCTGGCCTCAAATCAAAGGGAGCCCAGCTTGGTGGGTATTATAGCACCTTCTCTACCACAGGTTAGGGCTGGCGTTCCCCTCCAGCTGCCACTGTGCGCGCCCAGGCTATCTGATTGGGCATCTAAATCAGTTCGTGGTTGCCATGCCAATTCTCTATGGATACTGCAGCCTGCTTTGAAATCCCAACTCAGCTGGCTGGGGCCTTGACTACCTCTCGTAGTTCAGATAGTCCCTTCGTCCAGGAGCTGACTCTGTCCCTTTGCCCCCAGCTCCTGCTAGTTCTGAAGATACATACGTCTGAAAGACCGTAAACTTCCCTGAAAGCACCGGTACCATGCGAGACAGTGTGTAAGAAGTTCCTGTTATTAGGCCTTTTCCGCCCCCAGATCAGACCCCTGGAATAGTGACCCCTTAGATGGATCGTGAGCAAGAGGAATTCGCAACATCTCTTGGCCTCGCTATTTGGGGGGCTGTCTGTCCCCTAGCGGAGCCAATTTCTTTCCACTAGGCCCAGCCCCTCTGAAGCAGCCTCATCCTTCTCTGGCTTGTCTTAGGTTTCAGCATGGCCCTCAGGCTGTGGTCTCGGAGCTGCAGATGTAATCTTACGTCACTTTACAGTTTGTTTTTATTTTTTATGTTTCTCACTTTACAGTTTAGAAACAGCTTTGAATACCGCTTTGATTCTCACACGAGCCCCACGAAAGAGGTAGAGAGGTTATTATCAACCCAATGCTGCAGATGAGGAAACTGAGACAGAAGTAATAAATGAAGACCCAAATCTCTCGATCGCAATGTCCTCTACTGGATGGCAGGTACTCGGCCTCATTTGCCACCTGTTTCTTTCTTGCATTCTTTTGACTGAGCCTCAGATAAGAAAGTCAGTCCTGGGGTGAGTCTGACTCACCCTGCTCCCTCCCCTCAAGCTTCCTTTGGCCTGCTCCCACCTGGTTCACAGGACACGAAAGTAAGTGTCCTCTCTTTGGCCGTAGCGCCCAGCTGGGGTAGCTTTATCGTCCCACCACTGCCCCCTGGAGAGGAAAGCCTTGATCTGGAGCTGGAGCCTCTCTCTGAGGGGGATTCATAGAATCTTTTGAAGAGAAACTAGATTTCGGAGGTGATGATGGATTTAGCATCTCTGTGTGCCGTAGGCATGAGGTTCCTTTGTGGAATCACGATGGAAATTTCAAAAGAATATCTTTCTCTTGATGGCCTTTTCGACAGAGGGGAGATGCTCTGCGTGCGTCGCGTGTCGTGTTGTGTCTTTTGAGAGAGGGGAAACTCTGTGTCGGGGGTTGCTGAGTGTGGGGGAAAGGAATACTTACCCGCTCCTTTTCTTTCCAAAGGAGAAAGCTCCTTGAATGAGGAAAAATTCCTTGTCTTCTGTTTGAAGGAGAAAGACTGTAGAGAACAGTCTGATAAGATTATGCCTGGTTTTCTCTTCCTTTCTGACATAGTTCCCTCACGGAGTCACTGCGCTCTGGCAGAGAGTGGCAGAGAATTTTTTATTCTGCTAGGAGGTAGGAAAGCAGAGGAGAGAAATCTTTTCTAGGGGAAACTTTCACTCTGAGGGGCCATTGGGGAGGGCAGTGATCTGAGAAGGGGAGACCCCATGAGGCTGGGGGGGTTGGTCTTTTCAGAATCCCAGAGGCAGCTTAGGAGATGTGCGAAGCCAGCCCTGTTGGCTCACGAAGAAACTGAGGCTTGAGGGAGGGAACGCCTTGCTAATAAGTGACAGAAGCAGGACCTGAACACAGCTTCGGCAAGTCCCACCCTGGGGCTTTTCCCACCAGCGCTGACAGAGGGAGGGGAGGCTACCTGCTGCTCTGGAGTGTGATGCCATGAGATGTTTGACCTCTGGTGGAGACATCTCTGGGAAGGAAAGTAGGGAGGAGGGGAGAATCAGGGGCTAGGTGCAAAGGAAAGGGGTCAAGTTCATTGTGCAATGGGTATTAGTTAGCAGCGGATGCTGGATTTCGAGGGAGGAAGGGGGCTACTCCTCCCAGGGGTGCAGGGGTGGGGGCCTCACCAAGGTACGAAGAGAAGGTGTGCTAGCTACTCCCGGAAATTTCTCTACCATTTCCTGTTTCTCCAGAGGGAGTCGTCGTTGTAATCTTTTTAAAATCAGTAGGGGCCCAAAGAAACTTTTGGAGGTAATGTCAATGTTTTCTGGTATATCGTGGCCATGTTTATAAAACTGCACATAATTACCAAAACTCAATAAACTGTACACTTCAAGTGGCTTCAAAAATAAAATCAGGATGGAGGTAAGTGAATTAGATCCCAATAAAGCTGTTATTAAAAAATGGAGGGGGGGGCGCGCAAAAACCAAAATAATGAAAAAAAAAGAAAACGGGAGAGAACAGCTAAGCGTCTGCTTTCGCAAGCAGATCCTACCTCTTTAACCCATTCCTTTCTTGATCAGCAAAAAGCCGAGGCCGGCTCGGCCAGGGGGAGGTCAGAGGTTGCAGGAAAGAGAACTTGACAAACACACAAGCCACCTCTTCATTTACTGTAAAATCCTGTTTAATGTGTAATGTGTCAGGCAGAGAGAGGCTTTGGGACTTGAGGCGAAGGCAGCACTGACCAACCCCCACTGCAATTCATCCGCCTGCTTCTCTCTCCCTCCCTAACTCCTCCACCCCAGACCTGTCCTCCTTTCCCTGAGGCCTCGCGGCAAGTGCTCTCGCTCCTTCTCCCGCTCCCTCCCTCCTCCACCCACAGGTCCGCAGCACCCTCCCTCCGCTCCACTCGCCCATGTCCCTCCCCAGCGGTGGGACTCCAGAAATAGGGTATGTGACAGCACAGGGTTAAGAGTAGCTTCTGAACTGGAGAAGCCGTCAGAGCATCCTAACCCCCCAATAACCTGGAGTACTGTCGTGGAGTGTCCCCCTGGAGGAGTGGAAGGAGTGAGGGGGTGGGTTTGGCTGGAGTGTTCCCTGGCAGCCGGGGGAGAAGGAGGGGCAGGCCCGGGGCAGGTGAGGGCTGGATGGGAGGTTGCCTGGTTCCTGGCATCAGCAGGCCGAGCAGCGGTCGCTCTTGTCAGCCGTCCCGGCCCCAGTGCTGGGTCTGCGGCGTAGGATGTCTTTCAGGGAGCCATCCTGCTCGCTCAGCAGCTTGTTGATCTCATTCTGCTTGTATTCGGGTGACAGACGGTGGCCGAAGCCCGAGCCCTTTCGGGAGGTCGGATTGGAGCGGCGCCGGGCTCGGCGCGTGCAGGCCCGGATGATGAGGTACACCAGCTCCGCCACGTTGAGGATGATGCAGATGCCAGAGGCGGCCAGCATGAAGACGGTGAAGACGGTTTTCTCGGTGGGGCGGGACACGAAGCAGTCCACTGTGTTGGGGCAAGGGTAGGCCTCACACTTGACGAGCCGCACCATGGCATAGCCAGGGTAGAGCAGGTAAAAGACGTACATGAAGGCGGCCTCGAACAGCAGGCGGAAGACCACGCTGATGACATAGGTCCACCACAGTGTCCCTGAGATGTGGAACTTGTGCCTCTTCACCTCCTCCATGTGCAGGGGATCCCCATGGCCCTCAAGTCGCAGCATCTTCTTTTCCACATGCTGCTGGTGAGCCACGTGCATGGCCACGAGGAGAGTCGGGGTGGAGACCATGATGAGCTGCAGAGACCACAACCGCACGTGGGAAATGGGGAAGAACTCGTCGTAGCACACGCTGTTGCAGCCGGGCTGCAGGGTGTTGCAGATGAAGGAAGACTTCTCATCGCCCCACACGCTCTCCGCAGCCACCACCAGCACCATGATTCTGAAGATGAAGATGACCGAGAGCCACACGCGGCCGATGGCGGTAGAATGTCGGTTCACGCCGCTGAGCAAGGTGTACAGACCCGTCCAGTTCATCCTGCCTCATTCACACCTGCAAGACGAGCCACAAAGCAAGCCGTCAGAGAGCCGGCGACAGGGTGGGAGGAAGGGTACTCATAGCTTGCGTGATCACCCTGTCCCGTGCCAGCCGCTGCTCGTCCCCCTCACTTGACTGGACCTCCCTGAGCCCCATCTCCCTTCTTCGCTTTCGTCCAATGTTGTTTCTTGTCCGGCCCCTTCTTCTACCAGGCTCGTCTTCCTTCCGCCCTCTGCCATTTCTCTGCTCCTCGTCCCCCGGCTCCTCAACTCTGGCCCCGGGGCAAACCCAACCAAGCCCTATTACCTTGGGGAGCGCCTATCCCTGAGGCCACCCAGACAGGTCCCCTATGGTCTCATGTCTGTCCCGGGGGAGTGGGCCCTGGGTCCACGCCTGCGTCCCAATTCATCGCCGCCCGGTGCTGAGGAGTCATATGCTGCTTTATACCCAGTGTCTGCACAATGGGACCTTTGTGGGGCTCTGAACAACGCCCTTTAGAATTCAGATCAAACGCGCTGACTTCCGCCCACCCTACACACAGAGCACTTGTGTCCCAGCGCCGGACACCCAGCCTGCACCCACCTGTTCTGTGCCCGCCCGGTCCATCGCCGGCACCCGCCCAACAGCCCCACCAGGGGCACGGAAGAGGGGACCGGAGGGGACCAGGAGGCTCTGGGCTGAGGCCCTTCCCCACGACCCTACTAGAAACTCCGCATCCGCTCGATTTTTCCTTGGCTTAGATCCGCTCTAGGGAACGGGGCAGGAAAGGGAGCTCATATTTGTCAAGCCAGGGACCCCGTTAGGCGTTTTCCCACGTATTCTTTCTTTTGAGCCTCTTGGCCATCCTCTAAGGACAGTTACCCAGGTCTTTCCAGATGAGGAGGCTGCAGCTCAGAGAAGTGGTCGCTCACTCGAGAGTTGGATGAAACACAAAAGGATGTGAAGCAGAAATCTAAGCTCTTTCCACAGTATATTCTTGCGCTTACAGGTGGGCACGGGGGAGCCCAAGCCAGAAGGAGACAGGCCGAGGTAAGCGAGCAAGCAGCAAGTCAGACGGCTTTGGCTTGGAATCCTGGTTCTGCACTAATGCGACCTTGGGCTGTGACAGAACTTCTTTGAGCCTGACGCTCATCCCTAAATGGCAGTGATCCCTGGGTTATTGTGAGGTTCAGTGACGCCACCGGCGCGTCCTCAGCCCGGCTCCACTGCCATGGCCGCTGACTGAGGGCAGTGAGGACGTCATCAGGAAGAGGACTAAGTGGGCTGCCAAACCCAATATGTTTGTTTTTTTTTTTTTTTTATCCCCAGTGCTGTTGCTGACTTATAGTGTCCCTGTGAAATGAAACAGACAGTTCCGCTGCTGCCCTGCCCCCAATGTCAAGTGTACGTTGTGACCTCCTGGCTTCCTCAGCTTGCCAGTTCCTCCAGGGAAGAAGTTCCCCTCTCTTCCTCAGGCAGGCAAGAAGCCTCCCCCGACCTCCCACCACTTCTGCCATTAAGTTCGAAGGAAATGTCCCCAGCACAGGGGCAGTGACAGAAGCCCCGTGTCTAGTTCTGGGTGCTCCTCTCTGTCTCAGGGGGAAAGGGCGAGGTATCAGCATCTGGAAAAGCTGAGGAATGGGACGGAAGAAACTAGGGGATGAAGGGGGCGGCCCACGGGACGCAGATTACTCCTCTGAACAACATTTCCTCTTTTAATATTAAAAAAAAGCCTTAGTGGGTCCAAGCCGTGGGCCTAAAGCAACGTGGCGAAGCGGGGACACGGGCACCGTAGCATTTCGAAGGCAGAGCTACTGTAAGAGGCGGCACGGTCAGCTGTCAGGAAAGGCTTCGTCCGGGGAGACGTTAGATTCAAAAACATGTGGTCACGGAGCATGACTAAGAAAAATCATTTACTGAGCACCTGGTGTGCGCCAGACCCTTGCACACACGCTATCTCACAGAAAACTCACAACAACCCCGTGAGGTAGGTATTTTTAATCCTCATGTCACAGATTAGGAAACTAAGATAAACAAAAGGTGAAGGCATCTGTCCAAGGGTCATAAGCGTTACATACTTAGTACGTGACCGAGCTGGGATTTGAGCCAAGCCAAGTGGACTCCACAGTCCATACTCTTTCTCATAAGCTCTACCACCTCGGCTGGAATTAGAATTTTTCTTTCTGTGTCTTTAGAGGTTCAGAACTGCTCAGGCTTTTATGCTCCTCCAGCCCTTCTCCCTTTCCTATCAACCGACAACTCCGTCCCTTCTTTAGTTTTCTTGCGCCGCTTCCTCAAACTCAGAGCAAGTTGGGGCTGTTCCCTTCTCTCTGCCTGGGTGCTCCACGGACAGCTCGGCCACCCCCGAGTTTCCAGGTGCTTATAGCTTTCAGCCTCTCGTCTTCTTGAGCCCACTGGGACATGACCAGTAGCTCCTTTGGGGCCCCCCGAGGACCCTTGTGTGGGCACTGGGATAATTTCCGCTCCCCCCTTCGGAAGGAGCACTGATCCCTATGTCAACATCAAGGGTTTCATTTTGAAAACCTCCACGGGCGTGACCTGATCTTGAAATCCAAACCGTTTTTTTTTTTTTTTTTTTGTGACTTCGGGTTAAAGTCCAGGTATCGATATTCTCTGTATTGCTCCAGACATGTCTAATTAGACAAGACTTCCCTGGCCGTGGCAGATTCCGACCTCGCCCTGTGATTCAGATGTGCTCAAGCACAGTTCGAAATCGGGACATCACCCTTCGTCCTCACAACGGTCTTGTAATATTATCTCCATTTTTCGGACAAGGAAGCTGAGTCTCGGAGAAGTGAAACAGCTTGCCTCAATGGTGACTGCACTGCTCCTAAATGGTAGACTCAAGTTTCAAGCTTATTTTCCTCTGACCTCAAAGCCTTTGGCAGCCTGTCTTCCTTTCTAAGGACTTCGCATTCTAACTGAGACCAGGCCCGCAACTCAAAAACTTGAACTCCTTCCCACACGTGTGCACATGTGCGGGTACGTGCGCGCACACGCACACGTGCTCATGCACACAGGCACAGACACGTTCACCGAGTCCATCAATTTCTTCCAACTACAGGGGATCCTTGTGTTTTTTGGTCGGGGGGACGGGGGCCTGGCTGGGCTGGATAAGGTTAAACTCAGCCTCAGACTCCACTCCCCCTCCCCCACTCACAGGCAGCCTCTGGCCAGGAGGGGACACGGGGCTACCTTTCAGACTCCCTTCGGTATTCATCACTTTGGCATGGCTAAGGCCCAATCCATCCAGCCCTCTTCCCTTTCTCCTGCCTCCATCCTGCGATTCCACGGCCCCTCGGTCACCGCACTTGTCCCCTCCGCCCTGCCATATGTATTCCGTGGCCAGGCTTGGGTCAGAACCAGGGTAGTTCATTCTAATTTTCTCCTTTTCTTGCTCCATCACAGTCTCATAGAGCCCCTGCTAATGTCAGCTCCCTTGCTGACTGTTCGACCTATACCTTCTTTCTCCTCCATCAGCTACCAAACTTCCTATTGCTCTCTCCGTGGGCTCATTAGAATAGCCACCACTCGTGGAATGTTTACTGTGTGCCGGAGCTGTATGTTCACTAAGTCCACGTCACGGCAGCCCTGTGAGCTGCGGGTTATTGTTTTCAGTCCACAAATAAGGCAACGGGGCCTCAAAGAAAAGGACGGACTCATCACAGCTGCTAAGGAAGGGTCGGAGCTCAGATTGACACACACGTCGGTCCTTCACCGAAGCCTGCGTTCTTTCCCCATTGCTCTGCTGCGTCCTCGCCTATACCCTGTTTCTTCAAAACCCTCTTCCTTGTATCTGTTCTCTCTCGCTCACCTCGTTTTCGAAGTCCATGCAGTCTGGCCGTGCCATTCCTAACAGCTGGAACAGCTTTCAAACAGCTGGAAGGCCACCCCTCCTTTGTATCTCCAAAGCATCAATTACTCCAAGCTCCGCTTGGGTCTGCCTGCCTTCCTCAAGAAAAGAGGAACGCGGGCTCTCAAATCCCAGCCCCGCTGGCTGGCCCTCCGTGCCCACCGAGTGCCCTGTATTCATCTGTCCACAGCCCCCATGTCGGTTGCATGTCCGGCTTAGCTTCTAATCAAGGAAGGAAAATAGCACCTGGCAGTGCCAAACAGTCCTATTGAACCATAACCCTGATGGCGGGAAACGATCAGTGAGCCAAGGAGATGAACTTGGCCACCTGTGCCTAGGGGGCCCCTCAAGTCTTCTTGAGAACTCGGCCCTGTGGGGACAAGGAGAATCCTCGGCTGGGGAAAAAGACTGAGAGGAGGAGCGACTTGCAGTCTGGAAAGAGGGTAAGAGTTGGGAGCTACGAAGAGAGGCTCGGGAGACGGGCACCTGGCAGGAGTGGCCTCAACCCAGCTCAGAGGGAAGCGCAGGAAGGATCTACGTGGCCGAATGCTGAGCTCAAGAGAAGGTAAGATCCGGGACTCTCCCCAGCCCCAATTTCTGTGCCCCTGTGCCACACAGCACCCCCCTGGTCCACCTCCCTCAGCCCCCGGCTTCCTCACCTGGCTGCTGCTGCCCTTTCCCGGGGAATGTCTGCAAGCATGTCTGCACTATGCCACCAGGTACTGTCAGCCAAGCCCAGGGGAGGGACAAAGAGCCCAGAGCTGGAGCCAGATATGGCCCACAGCCCAAGAGGAACCAGACAAACATTAACCAGCCCCACCTCCTCTCACATACAATTATTAAAGAAGATTGATCTCCCGAGCTCCCAATGGATTTGGAGAGACAAATCACATAGCCTGGAATTCTGCCCTGTCGAGGGAGAGAGGCGTCATTGTTACTCACGTGCCCATGTTCAGTCCATGTCATCTGGGAGCCCGAACCCAGGCTCATCCAGAGCTCTCAGCCTTCCCCCAACCCCTGGACATAGGTAGACTCCATGAGTGGGCAAGGTGCAGAGAGGCCTCCTGTGTCTCCTTCCATTCCTTACAGCTCGCAACCTCTAAAATGAGTTGACTCTGGGGAGGAAAAAAGCCATGGGCAGTGCTTACTGGCACCTTGAGGTTGCATCAGGGGACGACAGTTTCCCCAACATGGCGGTTCCAAGGTACTCTTTGGCTCTCTCCTTACTGTCCGTGCCCTGAGTAGCTGACAATAGACCGAAGCATTTCCAGTCCCATCCCAGAACCCTAGAACTTCTTCTAAAATTGCCTTCTACCCTCGGGGCCAAGGTAGTTGGACTACGAAGTGTATCGTGTGCAGCACAGACCTTGGCAATCATTAAGGTAAACAGAGAATGTCAACCATTAACTGTGGGATCAGTTCAGTTTGAAGGAAGGCTTACCTGAGGACCCTGCTAATTCTGTGGTCCGAATGGCAGCCAAGAAATATGCGAAGGCAGTAGAAGCCAGTCCCCCTGCCTTCTGCT